ACAGATATTAATGCAGAGGACTGTCTAAATATATAGTATATTTATGAAGTTAAAGACTGTAGTTGGTAATAAACTATATTAAGAGGACATCTCTTAGTTTTATAACCAGAAAAATAAAGCCAATAAAAAGATGCAGTATGCATTTATAGCATCAAAAAATTTATGCTATAAAATGTGATAAAAATGGTAATGTGATAGTAGTAATAATAAACATAAATATATAAAATATTATGTAAATATATAAAAGTAATAGTAAACATGAAAATATAACGTAACACTTCTTTTGGGTGGATCATTACGGGTTCAGTCAGGAAAACAGATGTATCTGGGTCATATAGGGTTTAAAACAAACCAGTTTATATGATGGTGAGTTAGAAGGTGGGACACACAGGCCAGGGAAATGCTGCTGAAGGTTGTGGGGCTGTCGCCAAAGGCAGGAGGAGCTGACCCTGAAGGTCTCCGCCCAGAGCACAGAAGTAAGTGGCTCTCAAATGCTTGCCTGGAAGCTGCTGCAGTTCTCCAGTACCTTTGCAGATCTCCCACAGCTATCCCAGTCTGCAGCGGTTTTCACAAATTTGCTGGGAAACTGCTGTGACTTCTTCATCTACCCTCACATCTGCCTGCAGTTAACTCTGGAGAATTTCTTCTGCCTCTCTGTGCTCTTTCCGAGTCTCCTCTGAATTCCTCACAGTAGGAAACTGTAACCCAGATCATATAAAGGAGATTTTGGGAAACAGTTCCCAGCCTTAGAAGGAAATGTAGACAGCCTGTTATAGTAGGCCACATATATTCCAAGCACTTTATGAGTGCTTTGCAATCTTTTTATTTAATCCTCCTGGCCACTCTATGATGTAAGTAGTATCATTCACATTTAGTAGATGGTCCTATTGAATTTTAAAGTGATGGTCTTGCCCAGAGTCTTACAGCTAGTAAGTAGAAGATGATTTTAAAAAGTGTCCCTCTGATTTCAAAGCTTTGGTGTCTAATCACTACCTTATCCTGTCTTCTATTGCATTTCATTTACATTAGTAATATTATTAATATTAGTTAAGTATGAATTAAATCCTCCATTGGTGACAGTTAATATATTTTGTTTGCAACTTTAATGCCCCAAATTTAAGCTTGTAAGTGCAAATTGATCACATTAAAATTAATACCTACATTTTATCAATCCCCAAGTCCTTAGCCTAAAATTTCTGCAAATGTTTTTGTTCCAAGGCAGGAGTGCTATGACTTCCATTGTTGTTTCAATTTTTATGTTCCCACGGCCAACATCTCTCAGGGATCCTTGGCTGAAGGAAGACTTGAATGTCACTGAAGCAGCAGATGAAGAGGGCGCCCCACACTATAGGCCTGATTCCTGGCTGAAAAGGGGGCAGGCAAGGACATTAGTAGAAGAGGCCCAGGCGGGTCCTCCCCAAATCTTGCCTAAGTTCAGGGCAGCCACTGAGCTGTTGGCTTGAGCTCTGGGAGGGCTTTCGTCATTGAGCTGTAAGGCAGGGTCCGGTGCCTGGTCCTCAGAGCTGGGGAGCAACTCCACACGGTGGTTCCAGCATCCCCTTTGGGTCTGAGGCTAGAGTCTTGCGCAAGTTGGGCGGGGCAGGAGGAGTGGGTTTACGGCAAGGGGCAGGACTCGGGAGACACAGGGATCCCCTGATACACTGCAGCCAGCCTCGGGGCCACAGGGTTAGGGGGCGTCTTCAGGGCGTGTCCTGGTTCCCGGACTCCGGGGAGGTCTACATCCCGGGACAGGCTTGGGGCGGAGTCCAACGAGTGGCGTCGGTGGCTCTCCTTTGGGGAAGTTGCGAAGGTGACTGCATCCCGGGGCAGTAAAGGCGTTGTTACTCAAGGACTCTGCTCTCTAGGCGCTCGGGCGCTGTTAGGGCTCCGGGGCAGGCGGGTGGGTACCTCCACGACGCCGGTCGGTCGGAGATCGCGCGCTGGCGCTTGTGTCTGCGCCTGCGCAGAGCCGCCGTCGCGGCAGAGCGGGAAGTCTCGAGCTTGGCCCAGGTGCCAGCGCTGTCGGCGCTCGTCTGCGGGCTCTGTTAGCTGACATCCAGCACGGTCCACAGGTGGCCGATGTCGTGTGGAGAGCCAGCCGCATTGTCTCCATCTTGGTTAGGTTCTAGCATCCAGGGAATTTCATGTCACAGCTCTTGCGCTGATGGTAAGGATTGTAGATAAGCCTCCTCTCCCTCCCCGGAAGTTCACCCTCCTTACCTGACACCCGTGGCTGTTCTGGAGTACTTTTTGCCGTATGTGAATGATCCCTGTGAAACTTTTCAGCAGTGGGGTTTCTGTGGCCAATCCAACATTCTAGCTGCACGACTCCCCTCTCATTTCCCCAGTCTATCTGCCCTAAAGTTGTGTCTGTGTGTATATAAATCTTTGGGCGGGGGGGGGTGTCGTGGTGGTGGAAATCAACCTTTTTATTACCAAGAGCATCTTTGCAAATCTGAGGATTTAAATTTTCACATCTGGAAAAGAGGTTTCTGTCCAGTTCAAATCCTCAAAATTATTCACGTTCAAATGCTGGTGGATACCTGGATTGAGTGAGAGTCAGGATAATTTCTCTTATAAACACAATAATCTAAAGCTATACTGTTGTACAGTCAAGGTACCCAACATACCCTATTGCAAACTATTTTCATTTTATTTATGACTGAATTTGTCCTGTGTCGTTAATATGTATTCATTAATGGAATATAAGGATATCCAAAATTAGTTACTAATGATATTTTTAAAATTTAACAGTGATTACTTGGTTTATTATGACTATAGACATTGTCTAAAGACAATACAGGAACACTTCAATTTATTTTAAAAGAAAGAAAATACCCACAGAAACTTTCCATCTAATTTGAAAGGTAAAAAGAAGTGCATGAGATCTTCAGAGGTTTCAGAATAGAAATTGCTATGGCTTTAAAGCCTTATTATCTGACCTGATTTTGCTTTATCTGAGTGCCCAGGCCTTCTGTGACAAGAGTAATCTAGTTGGTTCTTCTATTTATTTTTCTATTTTTTTTTGGTAACATACAGTGAATTTAAATAGAATAAAATACATCTTTTCTACAGAAGCAAAATCCAAAGTGTTTTAAATTGCATTCCACTGATGTATAATTGGGGTTTAATTGAACCCTGCATTGTTTTAACCACAGTATAGGAATGATTTCTTTAGTTATAACTAATAGTTGAGATCTTAAAAAACAGAAATAAAGAAGACCTGTGCCAACTGGTTGTTTGCTTCTTTTTCAGAACATTAAAAAAAAAATCACATTTGTCCAATAAATATTTTGCCACACAGTGTTTTTGTGTTAGAAATCCTTTGCTCTTTTTAGTTCCAACTCTGTGTTCAATCTGCACATTTGAGATACCTTGAATTGTTTTATCCATGTCTTTGAGATCACCTTGGAATCTTGTCATCTACAAAGTCCGTTTAACCTCTACTCAGATAAATCTGTGTATTTCTAGGCTGTTAGAAATGTCAGCAAATATACCTGAGATATCATGACAGCATTTTCTCATATAGGAATTTTGAAGAGTGTATTTTGCTGGGCTAAGAAATCTATGAATGCTTTAATTGTTGTTTATTAGGACATTAAGGGACTTTAATTACTAATATTTACCTGGGATCAGTAAACCAAGAATTAATTAATTAATCCATTCATTCATTCAGTACCATCTATGAGCTATGAAGAGTTCCAGGCCCTAGGGAGAGAGTAGAGATCAAACCAGGCCAGCCCATGTTCTTAGTGCTGTAGTAGAGGATGAGCAGTGGCAGGTACAAAAAGATGAGCAAATATTTAATGAGATGATTCTGTAGAGTACTAAATGCTACGAAGAAAATAAGATAATAAAGTGATAAAGACTTACGAAGATTCATTAGGGTAAGCCTCTCTTAAGTTATCATTAGAGACAAATGATGACAAGCCAGCCATGTGAACATCTGAGAGAAGAGCATTCAAGGCAAAGGAAATAGGCCACCAACAAAAAAAGACAATGGAATGGGGGAATTTCCACTATTCCTTCTGTTAGCACTCCTAATACCTGATTTTCTGGTCCACTCATAAGACCATTGCCTCTCACAGAATCTAAACTTAAAATGATAATTGACAGACTAGAATTCTCGGCTAAAACTAGCAAAGTGAAACGTGATTGATATGAACGTACAATGGTGCTTACAAGTTCATAAACCTAGTTACACAGCACAAAATGATATCCACGTGGTTTGGCAGCTGTTCATCTGAGAACAATCTGGGGATTCTAACTGACCACAAATTGGAGCTTGCTCTTTGCTGTTCCTTCCCGGAAAAAAACAATGTATAGATATTACCCTCAGGCAGCTTTCCACTCAATTTAAGGCATCATTATAGCTGTCCAAAAATGGAACAGGCTGCTTCAGCAGGTGGAGAAATCTTCATTGCTTAACTCATTAAAAAAAAAAAAAAAGAATGAATACCCATCAGGGCTTTTGGAAAAAGTAAATTCTGTATTGTTTGGAGACTAGTTTAAGACACTTTTTGGTTTCTGTGAGTCTGTGGCTTGTTACTTGTTTCATTCCAACAAAATTTTCTTCATTTGGGGATATATATATAAATGGTTAAGAAGGAAAATAACATTGGTAAACCAAGGTTTACCAAAAGTTTAGTTTGTAATGGCATTTCTCAAGATAGTAATTTGAAGTTTAAAATTCTTGGGCTATAGTTTTTAAAAGAATTTAGATCAAAGTTCTAGTATTTCTTTGGCCAAGTAGAATAATAAAAATAAATATAAGTAAATATATTTTGGCTTTGCATGTATTAGCTGTATAACATAGTTTACGTTTCTGCACCTTACTTTCCTCACAAAGAGGACAATAACTTGTACCTGCCTTAAAAGATTATTATTAGGATTCAATCATTTGCTGTATGTAAAGCAGTTAGAGCAGTGCCTGGCATAAGTGCTGTGTAAGTGTTCACTATTATTATTAGGTATAAATGTTTGCTCTATTCTGCCTTCAGGAATTAATGACCAAATTAATAACTGAAACACCTGACCAGCCAATCCCATTTCTCATTGACCATCTTCAGTCTAAACAAGGAAACCGCGGACAACTTCAAAGAACTTTATCTGGATCTGCAGCTCTCTGGGCAGAAAGTGAAACGTCAGGTAAGTGCAAAAGTATATTTTACAGTTGATTTTTATATATTTAATGTAAAAATGTACAAAGGTCTTTTTGATTATAATAAGATAAATGTAGATGGTTACCAAGGGTTTCATGTATTCATTTGCAACTTCACTCATATGCTAAAATTTCACTCATGTGTGGAATTTAAGAGAAAAAACTAATGAACAAATAAAAAAGGAGACAAACAAAAAAGACTCTTAAATACAGAGAACACACTGTTGGTTGCCAGAAGGGAGGTGGGGGGGTTTGGGGGAATAGAAGTGATACAGATAAAAGAGATCAAGAGTATATTTAGCTTGATGACCACTAGTAATGTATAGAATTGTTGAATCATTATATTGTACACCTGAAATTAATATAACACTATATGTGAATTATATTCCAAAAAAGAAAAAAAATTGTCATAAAATATTCTTGAATTTGAATATATTGTTATATATTATGCTATGTATTATGCTTCAAAATATGAGAATCTGTGTTCAATTTTAATAGAAGATTCAGATTTGCAAAAAAAGATTTCATTCTGTGTGAATTCAAACTAATTATTCTAAACTTATTTCTTTTCTTTTCGTGAAGACTTTGAATTAAATTATAGCTTACCTATAGAAAGGTAAAAAAAGATTTTAAAAAAGTTACCTTTCACTTTGCCCAAACTGATGATTATTCTCTATTTCCTGTGGTGCCTATTTTTATCTTATGTAGTAAGTTTAACTTTAGGAAGATTCATTTACTCTGGACATTGGGGAACAAACCTTGCCAAGTCTGCAATAGCCTTATCTCCCAAATAAGCACTGGTTAAGATAATTGGGTAGACCCGACTTTGATCTTTGTGTGTCTGACAGCTTTTTTATTCTACATACTGGTTTGTTGGTTTGTCATTTACTTCTAAAACCAAATCTCCTATGCCTGTTATGTCAATAGCCAACTCCTTGCCTAATTCCCATGGGAATCTGACTGACAGGACTCCAAATGCATTCCTGACATCTTCACTTTTCTTATCCTCTTCATGCTTTATGAAATCCCCTGAAAGGATTTTGGTCTTCTTTGGCTATATTCTCATATTGGTACCTTCTTGAGACCATGTCTCAAAGCCATACTAAAGTGGGTAGGGAATAGAGTATCCTCTGAAAGAATGTAGAGCTCTCTGCTGGCAGTTATCCATATAGAAGATATCTGCATTATACAGGAAACTAGGATACAAACTTTTGGCATATAAAAGGGAACTCTTGCATTTTCCTGGCCTCACTTTCTTGGGTTTAGATTCTAAATAGCATGGGTATATAGGCATGAACTCTGGTTTGTAGGTACAAAGATGGCACCCATCATGTAAAGGCAGACCATATGAAATCGGTGAGCCCAGTGAAGCTCATATGAGCCCGTGTTTATAAATTATATTATCTGGAGAGATAGTAGTATGTTAAACTCTGTACTTTTAATCATCACATATTTAGTATCTCATACTTTCCATGGGCCAGAAGTCTGTACCTACCACAACTAGATCCCCTGTCTAATCTCATAAGCATGAAAATCAAGGTATCAGCTGGGTTGCAGTCTCATCTGGAGGCTGGAATAAGAAAGAACCTGCTTCCAAACTCATTCAGATTGTTAGCAGCATTAATTTCCTTGCAGCTGTATGACTGAGGTTCCTGTTTCCATGCTGGATTTTAGCCCGGGGTTGCTGTCAACTCCTAGATGCAATCCACAGTTCCCCGCCACATGGCTCTTTCATATCATGGCAGCTTACTTCTTTAAAATCAGCAAGGGAATTTCTGTCATTCAAGTCTACTTAGCATATATAAAATAACATAATCATAGCATTGACATCCCATCACCTTTACCATATTCTGTTGGTTTGAAGCAAGTCAAAGGTCCTATCTACTACACTTAAGGGGAGGGGAATTATATAAGACATAATGTCAGGGGCAGAGATCATGGGGATCATCTTAGAATTCTGAGTAGCACAAGTACTGATGACTTACTACTTGGAGAGGGTGAAGGAGGGGAGGAGATTATTATAACTTCCAATTTACTGACTTGGGTAATGGCATAAATGCTTATTTAACAAAGCAAGATGGGAACAGAGGACAATAATAAGTCTACTTCCTATTGATGACTGAGTTTTTGTGAGGCATCATAGTAAATAATTCCAGCAGGCAGTTAGATATGAGTCTAAAACTCCGGGGCTGGGTCAAGGCAGGAGTCACAGAGTGGCATTTAGTATCATACATATAATCGTTAAAGTTATGAGAGTGAAAGAATGGAAGAAGTTGTGGTAAAATTCGCCATTAGAGTGGGAGATGGACTGGGGCAAAGCAAGTGTGAGATTATATCTGATGCCTGAAATTTTGTCTTTTTATTAAGAAGTGAGGTCGTTTGCTGAGAACAAGAGGATTGGGAATTGAAGAGGGGAGATTGTAGTGATGCCAATTGTGAAAAGTCACCAAGGAAAAGGAGAAAATAGTTGGCAAAAGGAAAAAAAAAAAAAGACTGTGAGGCAGTTCTTGGTCCTCTCTGAAGTTGAAGACATGAATGACTCTTAGAAGCCGTGAGACAGTTGTGATTTTCTCTAACAGTGCCCCGAAGCAGTGGGAAGGGAGCAGAGCCAACAGTTTGGGGGACTGAGTGAGAACTGTGGTTGTGGCATGGCAAGGGTAGAGGGTGGAAGAACAGTTTTGCGAAGCAGTCGAGGACATGTGTGAGGAATTTTATTCAAGTTGATCAAAGCACCTAGTCTGGTATGAGAGGGTAGCGAGCAAGGATAGGAAAAGAATTACACAAAAAAGCAAATCAGAGAGCTGAAGATAAAGACCTTTAGAAGGCTGATGCAGGGGTAGGTGCAGTGAAAATATGAGAGAGATTAGAAGGAAGGAAATTGTGATATTTGAGATCAAGACTTCTGAGGTGGAGTGAGTCCAGATGATGAGAAGGTCCTGTTGGTAGCCTTAGTTGTGGGGTATTTTAATTAGCAGGGAAGTGAAGCTTTTCAGAGTTAGGGAGGACAAGGAAGAATGAGACTTAATGCATGATTAGTCTGACTATTAAGAAGGTGAAACCAGAGTTGCATTCAAGTTGTTGAAAAGTCAAGGGAGACTGTGCCAATGTCTTGAGTTGGGCTGTGGAGTCATAAGGAGCAGTGATGGCAACAGTGAGGAGCAGTGAGTAGTGTAGACAGGCAGCATTTACCACCAGAGTGGAGGGACTTCCAGCTTAACGGTGTTGGGCCAGGAAAACCCCGCCTGTGGCCAGTACCACGTAGGGGAATGAACCCTCCGTCCCAGGAAGCTGCAGAGGAGGGAGCGCTCTTGTGGGAAGAGTGAGGTCTCTTAAAACATGAAACAAGAAAGGTTTCTTAAAACAAACACTCTTCTATCTTGAGGATAGAAGAGTGTTTGTTTACTGTGGAATGTATGTCCCAGAAGGTGAAGGGGCAAAATTTTAGAGAGAAAGAGTATGACAGGAGGGAGAAGGAAAGCATAGGATAATTCTTGGATATGAATATAAGTGATGAAGTTAGAATTTGTGTGATAGTAAGTAATGCCAGTTTACACCTTGACTGCAATTTTTAGTTGTTTTTTCTGGTGCATGTTCTGATTAGCTAGAAATTATCTCAGTATTCAAAGTGTTTTGGTGTAATATCTTTTGAAAATATCTTAAGTTGTCTTCTTATTCCCGTCAAATGTATCTAGCAACTCAGGACACAGCATCATCTAAAAGTCTGTCATTTAATATTACTGTGCAGAAACCTGAAGCCTTCCTTATTTTTATGTCTTTTTAGATATCTAATTATTTTTCTTAAATACTTACAGGATTTGTTTTTTCTTTCTGATATTGACGAGTTTTACTGGGAATATATCCCGATGATTATCTTTTTTCTTTAAATTTTTTTCTTATATTCAGTGAATCTTTTCAATCAGCAAATCCAGGTCTTCAGCCTAAAACTGTTTTCCTCTTGTGTACTTAGTTATTGCTTCTATTATATTTGTTTTCAATTTCTTCTTCGGGAAAATCAGCTATGTGTAAATTGACTTTGCCTTGCTGTTCTTCATTCCTCTCATTTCATTTCACATTATATTTGCCTTTCTTTATTGACTAACTTCTGGGGAGATTTGTCAAGTGTGCTCTCTGTGTCACTGATTCAATTTTCTGCAGTATCAGTTTTCTCTCTCTGTCTTTGAAAACAAATTTAAATGTTGGTATTGCATTTTGGTTTATTGTCAATATTTCCTTATCTTCTTTATTCATTTCTGTCTGCAGTTATATTTTATTGTAGGTTAGTTGGTTAACTTATCTCCTTTCACACTTCTTTTTGTTTCATAGAATCCATTTTCTTTATTTTTTTTTAGAAGGCAATTAGCCACATTCTAAAATTTAAAGGTTTTTCAGAGTAAATCTTCTCTAAAACTATGAATTTTCTTTGTATCTTGAATGCTGTGTTCTTGCTTTTCATATTGAAATTTTTTTAGAATGATGTTTTTTCCATTTATTCAAATTTAAATGAGGAGTAGTCTATCTAGTTTTACGTTTGTCAGTTAATACTATAGGTGGACTCTTTGTCCCCTCAATGTGTAGCTCAGGACAATTTGGATCCCTTTCAAGAATTCTAGAGAGACAGAAGAAATCATGACTGCTACTAAAATTCCATTATCAGTTGAATCCTATGGATCTCTCCTATGTTCATGAGTAACTTTGTCTCATCTTGTTTTCAACCAACTAAATAAGAACAGTATCATTGCTAGATTATTTAAATTAATGTGGATTTTTCTCCTTACCTAGAGTGGAAAAGTTAAAAAGCCACAAAATCCAGTATGCTATTCCTCCCTTGTTCTTTTTAGTCTTTTTCTTTGCATCATGAAATGCTCTGTTTTATGATCAGGATTCTTTGTTCCTTTAGCCATGTTGCATTAGAAGTTATTATGGTCCTAGGATGGATGTGGAAAGACAGATTCTCATAGAAGAACAGAAACAGATGACTTTGATATAGGGGCAAATGATACATGGTACATCCATGTACCATACATCCATGATATATGGATGCCTAGAAATCTTCCAGTCCTTTTCTGATTTGCCTATCTTTTGTCTTATTCCTATCTGTGGAAATATGTCCTGCATTCTGGCAGACCACAGACTGATATTTCTATTCCTAGAGTTTTAGAATATTTATGCCTCTTTTGGTATTGAATGGCGTGTTGGAGGTAGTAAAATTAGGTAACAGCTAGTTTTGCACAACCTTCAAATATAAATTTGAGGAATCCGTATAATGTTTCATGATGTCTATTTGGTATTTACAAGTGGGTGGCTAGAGAAAGATTGAAGTCATTCATAAAGCTAGAATGATTCAACAACTTATAAATTTAAACAGGAAGGCAGAAGGAAACTCTAAGGAATGTCACATAGATGAAAGAGGAAGATGAGGAAGCAGTGAATGAGACAGAGAAGGAAGAGTCAAATAGGTGATATGGAGATGAGGAGAATGTAGGGCCCTGAGGATAGGAGAAGAAAATATTCCACAAACATAGGCCTGTCTAAAAATATGAAATGCTTGGCAAAGATGTCAAGAGGGGTGAACTCTTGGAAAGATCATTTAATTTGGGAATTAGTATGACTTTGACCACATTTGAAGGGGAGCTATAATTTTCAACAAAGTTGGTTGAATTACCCTTTTTCTTGGATAGAGAAGTGGAAAAAATGAGTGATGCTAGGGAAGGAATGTAGATGACCGTCAGTGGTTTAATGTGTCTTAGTGAATAATGGATAAGGTAAAATCAGATGAGTAAAATTTACAAAATGTTTAGTTGTTTTTATTTATTTTTATTTTTATTTTAAAGATTTATCTAGTTACCTTAGAGAAATTGAGAGAGAGAGAGTGGGGGGAGGGACAGAGGCAGAGAATCTTTAAGCAGACTCCCCGCTGAGCGCAGAGCCCAGCACTGGCCCAGTCCCACCACCCATGAGATCATGACCTGAGCTGAAATCAAGAGTCGATTCCCTGATGGACTGAGCCGCCCAGGAGCCCCAGTTGTTTTCATTTACATTAGAATACAGTGCTTTATTCCATAATACCCATTTAAAGAATGTTATTTTAAGTAATGGTAATCCATGCCTTAACGAGTCTTTCCAGAAGCCTTTCACAGTTTAAAATGATCTTAATCATATTAATATACAAATTGAATCATTTCAAATCCAAAACTAAAATTTACATGGGAAATTAAGCAAGAAATACTTTTGAATATTTGCATTATTTTTGATGTGTGACCTATAGCTTTTGCCAGGCATATCTAATGACTTCATGGATTTAGTTTTTGGTCAATCTTGAAATCACTTATTGTTGAGTTTATATATATATTGTTTGTTTGTCTTAACAGAACATAAAGGAACAAGAAGGGATTTCAGAAGTTATGATAAGCCTTGGCAATTAAATGCAAAGAAGCCTAAAAAGTCAAAAAGTGACCTTGCTGTGTCTAACATTTCTCCACCATCACCAGAATCCAAATCATGTAAGGAATTTTGTCATTCAAATGTTACTTAATATATGTAAGTATGTGTTACTAACAAAATGAACAAAAGGTAAGAATTGGAGTCAAACTTTTTATCTGATATTTCTGACTATTAATCCTAATGAATGTTGTGTTCATTTCAGCAGTAACATTGAGCTTTATTTATATATATCTACTCACTCATATTCTCAAGCATGTTTAATTGATTTAGACCTTCTGGAGTATATTCTTTTAAGAACGTAAGCTGCCTGGAGCAGGTTCCTTGCCTGTCACGTTCAGTTGCAGCCTTGTATCACATTCAAAGCAAAACTAGCCCTGCATTTAATAAAGTACATAAAAGCAAATTAAATCTTTTAGAGGGGAATCAAAGGAGATTTATATTTAAAAAATTAACAAAATTTAAATTCTTAATCCTTCTCTCTTCTTTTAGCCCCCTCAAATTCTACTCCTCAGAAATAGTTTTTAATTTTCACATCCTTTGAAATAGTTTGCATCTTTTTACATCCTTTTCTTTGTACAAACTAGCATATAAAATATGTGTGAGTTGATTCGCTTTATAAAATGGCTTAGACTATACACATGCTTGAGCAATTTGTTTTTATTATTTTAGAATGTGCTGTGGATATATCTCCATGCTAAACTTAGATCTAAGTAACACTACTTAATAAGTACATACTGTAGCATGCTGTGAATGTGCCATAATTTATTTATTATCCTGTGGAAGAACAGTTGGATTGATTACAGAGTTTTGCCTCCATAAACTGTTAACTGAAATAAATGAATATCTTGCAATTTCTGATAAAATAAACAACTTTGTACATATCTACATAATTATATGGTTCTCATTTCTTTATGATAATTTACCAGACATAAGATTGTGGGGTCAGAGAATCAGCATATTTTTATTATAGTAAATATTTCCTATTACTTTTTTAAAAGGTGACAGAAAAAATATTTCAGTAGTCTGAGCTCGCCTTTGCTATAGCATTACCATATAAATATTTAAAAATTATTTTATTTTAATCAAAACAAAAAATATATGGTTTGAGAACTAAAGTAGTATTATAGGCTTCTAATGTGGAGTCACTTTTAATTCTTTTAGATGTTCCTTTTGGTACACAAGTTTACATGTCCAAACATACAAGTTATTTACATAGTTCCCTTTTACATTTTAAATTTGAGGCATCATCTCTTGACCTCCTTCTAAGACCTTGTGGTTTCATACCTCAGGCCCATTTTGTTCTCACAATACAATCATGCAAGTATTTCAAATGTTGAAGATATATCCCACAACGTTGTTATGACTGCATTAATTAGCCATAATTTCACAGTAGAGCCATAGATGTCCAACTATTAATTTGTTTCTAGAACTAATAATTGTCTTGTTTTTCTATTTGCTTTGTTTTCTGTGTACCCCTCACTGTTTCACTAAACCTTTCCTTAAAGTATTGAATACTCAATATGATCAAATACATCAAGTAATTCTAACTTTGATCTTATTTTATTTTATATTTCATTTCATTAAAAAAAATTATAGACCTCTCTTCTGTAGCCCTTTGTCTTCTTGCTCTAATCTTGGCTTCTTGGTTTCTAGCCTTTTTCTCAACTGTCTTCTGAGACCATCCTTCACTGCGATCCTGAGGATTCTCTTTTCCTTCTTCTTGTGGAGGACCATCTGTCTCCTGAATCCCAAGTCTTTCCGCTTTTAGGTTTATTTATTCATTTTGGTGGAGTATCTCCATTACAAGCTTTCTGAACAAGAATGATTGCAAGATAAATGTTTGAATCCTTATAAGTAACTTGATTGGTTCCTTAGTTGGGAATAAAATTCTAAGTTAGAACTAATTTTCAGTTGGAATTTTGAAGGAATTTCCCCTGTGTCTTCTGGGGCAAGTATGGCTATTAAAAAGTCTGACAAGAACTTGATTGCTGTTTCTGTCCCTGAAAGCTTTTAGGATCTTTTCTTTTTTGCCACTGTTGTAAAATTTTGTGATAATATGGTTTGCATTGTTTTGGACATTTAATGGATCCTTCCAGTCTGAGAAATGGGTTTTTTATATCCTTATTATTTTGACATTTGTCCTCCTTGATTGATGCTTGAGTGTTGAAATGTTATGAAATGTCCACCTTTTGGGGCATTTCTCTCTCCTCAGAGACTAGATTTCAGTATTCTCTACTTTGCTAGATACAGTTACCACTCCTCAATTTATACTGCATCTTCAAAAAAAAAAAAAAAGATTTGCTATTTCTTGCCTAATAATGTCTTCTCTTCTTGTTCGACTAACTATTTGACCCAAAAAATATTTAATATAATTTTAGTAGGAATTTGGGGGAAGTGAAGGTAGGTGTGTTCTGTCTTCTGTTTTATCAGAAGATAGCAAAATGTCTTAAAAATATATACTAATTGCTGATGAAGAAATTGGTAATTTTTAAGCTGCTAGAAGATGATATAAAATATAATTTGCTTGTATGTTTTCCCCTAAGTTATAGAAATCATTAACTGTAAATCAGTGCCTGAACTCTCTTTTTTCTATAAACAGTCACACTTCCCTTTACTAGTTCAGTTAAAACATTTCTTAAAACCCAGCTTCATAACTTCCCTCTGTTTGCTCATAAGAAAACTATTTCCAAAACAAACATTTTTATTCTGTACATTGATCTTGATACAATCTTTCACATAATGATGAATAGTAAATTTTTATCATTATGTAGCATGCTTATGAAGTAATCATTTTTTTTAAAACATAGTGCCAAAGTCAGTAGATCATCCTAAGTGGAACTGGCGAATTAAACCAGAAAGCTGTGATTTTGATGAATTGAACCACATCCTTCAAGAGAGCAAGAAGCTGGGAAAAGCCCTTGAGAATCTTTCTCGAAGTAAGTTCATTTACTTGATTATAATTGAAATTCCTAACCAATATTAAAGTAGAAACATTTATTACTATTGCCAGTAACCCATTTCCAACATCCTCATTATAATTACGTGAGAGGCTGTAAGAGTGTGTATGAGATTGGAAATGAGGATTGATCTTGCCTTTTCCACACGTTCCTGGGAAGACAGGTATAGAGAGTAGGAGGAATTGTAGACACCACCCCTGCCCCACCCTGTCCCTTGCCCTTGCTATTTGACTCCAGTCTCTCTACAAGGTCTCTGTCACCCAGGTCAGCTGCACACATATAATGGTATCTTACTCATTCTTCTCTTTTGAACCTGATGGTTTTGTCATCCTAAATAGTAAAGACACCTATTGCCTCCATGAGTTTTTGATGTCTCTAAACTTTTTTAAAAAATTCTTTATTTAAATTCATTTAGTTATATATCATGTATTATTATTAGTTTCAGTGGTAGAGTTCAGTGATTCATCAGTTGCATTTAACACCCAGCGCTCATTACATCAAGTGCCCTCCTTAATGCCCATCTCCCAGTTACCCTATCCCCCCACCCACCTCCCCTCCAACAAACCTGTTTGTTTCTTTTTTTTAAAAAAAAAGATTTATTTATTTATTTATTTGACAGAAAGAGAGAGAGCAAAAGCATGAGCAGGAGGAGGGGCAGAGGCAGAGGGAGAAGCAGATGACCTGTTGAGCAGGGAGCCCGATGTGGGACTCAATCCTAGGACCCTGGGATCATGACCTGAGCCGAAGGCAGACGCTTAACTGACTGAGCCACCCACGCGCCTCTCAGTTTGTTTCTTACAGTTAAAAGTCTCTTGTGGTTTTCCCCCCTCTCTGTTTTTATCGTATTTTATTTTTCTTTCCCTTCCCCATGTTCATCTGTTTTGTTTCTTAAATTCCACATATGAGTGAAGTCATATGGTATTTTTCTTTCTCTGATTGACTTATTTCACTTAGCATAATATCCTCTGGTTCCATCCATTTCTTTACAAGTGGCAAGATTTAATTCTTTTTTATGGCTGAGTAATAGTCCTGTGTGTGTGTGTGTGTGTGTGTGTGTGTGTGTGTGTGTGTGTGTTTACACCACACCGTGTTTATCTATTCATCTGTCAGTGGACATCTGGGCTCTTTCCATACTTTGGCTGTCGTGGACATTGCTGCTGTAAACATTGGGGTGCATGTGCCCCTTGGGATCACTATTTTTGTATCCTTTGGATAAATATCTAATAATACAATTGAGGGGTCATAGGGTAGTTCTATTTTTAACTTTTTGAGAAACCTCCATACTGTTTTCCAGAGCGGCTGCCCCAGTTTGCATTCCCACCAACAGTGTAGGAGGGTTCCCCTTTCTCTGCATCCTCGCCAACATCTATCATTGGGTTCCCCTTTCTCTGCATCCTCGCCAACATCTATCATTTCCTGACTTGTTAATTTTAGCCATTCTGACTGTTGTGAGGTGGTATCTCATTGTGGTTTTGATTTGTATTTCCCTGATGCCACTGATGTCTCTAAACTTCTAAGGGTAGCAACTGGGGCAGATTCTTCTTAAAATCCTTTCAGAACCTAGCAACATACTTTTTTGTAAAAACAATGATTCTGTAATCCAAGGCCAAGGTTATAGGTTTTGCTCTGCCACTTATTAATAACCTCAAGTAAATCATTAAACTTCCAATGAACCTTGGTCCTCTCTTCTCCAGAGAAGGAAGACATGATTCTGTCTCCTTTTTCTGGTAGGTGTGAAAGTTTAAAATGATATATTTCAAGTAAAAACTTTTAAATATTACTGTCATGAGAGTAGACAATCAAATATTTGATAAATGCATTCTATATATTTAGACATACATATATACCTTATGGTTTTAGTAGTGAGTTCAGAGTATTCCTATCTATTTCTGATTCTGAAATAACTCTCTATTTTAAAATTAGATACCTTTAGAAGCACATTAATGCCATGACCTCACTAAAATTTTCTTTTGCTGTCATGAAATATTAAAAATTCTTAAATAGAATAAGATACTAGCACGTTCTAGTGGATTATATTTTAAGATCTATATGTTTCTTTAGATAGCACAGTTTTACTAGTTTCATGATGTATCAGAGTTAAAATTGCCTTGGGGGGGATGAACACATTGGGTGAAGGGGAGTGGAAAATATAGGCTTCCAGTTATGGAATGAATAAGTCATGGGATTAAAAGGCACAGCATAGGGAACTGAAAAAAAAAATTGCCCCTTTGTATATTTTGGGAGAAATAATGTAGATATCATATGTATGTATAATATATGTGTATTTGCATATTGTATTATACTATAATTATATATATTTACACCTTACATTTTATTATATTATAATTTTATATATAGAAAGAGATTGAGTTTTTTCATAACTCTTAATGCATAACTCACTAGAACTTTTGTGTGGTGAACCCATGTCACAAGTTAATTTGCCTTATGATAGGATCATATAATTTTTCAATTAAGTTTTTAATTTTAATTCCAGTATAGTTAACATATAGTATTATATTAGTTTCAGGTGTACAATATAGTGATTCAACAGTTTTATACATTACTCAGTGCTCATCATGATACGTGTATTTTTTAATCCCCATCACCTATTTTACCTACCACCTCCCTGTGGTAACTGTCATCTTGTTCTCTATAATAAAGAGTCTGTTTCTTGGTTTGCCTCTCTCTTTTATCCCTTTGTTCATTTGTTTCTTAAATTCTACATATGAATGAAATCATTTGGTATTTGTCTTTGTCTGACTTACTCACTTCACTTAGCCTTATACTCTTTAATTCCATCCATGTTGTTGCAAATGGCAAGATTTCATTCTTTTTTATGACTGAATAATATTCCATTGTATATATACACCACATCTTCTTTATCCATTCATCTACCAGTGGATACTTGGGCTACTTCTATAATTTGGCTGTGGCAAATAATGCTGCAATAAACATAGGGATGTATGTATCTTTTTGAATAAGTGTTTTCTTATTCTTTGGGTAAATACTCAGTAGTGGGATTGCTGGATCATATTGCAATTCTATTTTTAATTTTTTGAAGAACCTCCATATTGTTTTCCACAGTGGCTGAACCAGTTTGCATTCCCACCAACAGTGCACAAGGGTTCCTTTTTCTGCACACCCTCGCTGACACTTGTTGTTTCTTGTGTTTTTGATGTTAGCCATTCTGACAGGCATGAGGTGATATTTCATTGTAGTTTTGACTTGCACTTTCCTGATGATGAGTGATGTTGAGCACCTTTCCATGTGTCTGTTTGGCCATCTGGATGTCTTCTTAGGAGAAATACCTGTTCCTGTCTTCTGCCCATTTTTAATTGGATTATTTGTTTTTAGGGGACTGAGTTCTATAAGTTCTTTGTAGATTTTGATTACTAACCTTTTGTCAGATAAGTCATTTGCAAATACCTTCTCCCATTCTGTAGGTTGCCTTTTAGTTTTGATTGTTTCCTTTGCTGTGCAGAAGCTTTTAATTTTAGTGTAGTCCCAATAGTTTATTTTTGCTTTTGCTTCCCTTGCCTCAGGGGACCTATCTAGAAAAAGTTGCTACAGCTGATGTCACAGAAGTTACTGCCTGTGCTCTCTTCTAGGATTTTTATGGTTTCAGGTTTCATATTTAGGTCTTAATCCATTTTGAGTTTATTTTTGTGTATGGTGTAAGAAAGTGGTCCACTTTCATTCTTCTGCATGTAGCTGTCCAGTTTTCCCAGCACCATTTGTTGAAGAGACTTTTTCCTGGTGCATAGGATCTTATAATTTTGCCATTAGTAGACATCTTCTGGTTGGGATTCAAGAAGGCCCTACTTTTGGCTAGAATTACTTTTGGAAGAAATAATGACAAAATGAGTGCAGCTTATTACTATATTATGTTCATGAAATAAGTCTTATCCTATTAAATGTCAAAGGTTTATATTAATATGTATAAATCTTATCCCTTTGAGAAGAGCCTGTGGCTCCTTATAGCCTCTCAATTTATCTAAAAGCATGAGTTGAAAGAAAGATGATTGAAGAATATGCCCAATTATTACACAGATCTTCAAATAGAGTATTAGTCAATTTTTGTTCTTTAAAAAATATGATAATTGCCTAACAGAGACTTGTTATACCATTGTTAGCTGGTAAGAAAGTATTTGGCCTGTACCTAAAACTTTTTAATAAAGGAGTTTGATTGCCTTTCACTTATGTATTTGCCAAAATGTGTAGCAGAAATGTCAAGGTTCAAGTGATGGTCTGTCCCAAGAAAACCTAGGTGTGGCTTTATAGGTGGGACCTAGCAACTGATTCCTATGATCAGAAGTTAGTTAGGGGCTGTAATACGGGGCTCATTTAATTCTTGAAGGAAGTCTGGAGAAACAAAAATGGCCAGAGGGCAATCCTTGGTTGGGAGAGTAGAAGAGATGCAAATATGGGATATTATTCTTGGACAAAGTCAAGGCCTTTGGAGGAGGCTATCAGATGAGTCAGTAGCTTGACCAGAAATAAGATGTAACATTCAGTTCTATGTATATGATGGAGAGTTGCTTTTGGCTGCCCTTGATGGTTTTGAGGGGGCTCAATTTTTTTTGTGGCAGTAGTGGTGGTGTTTATGTGGGAATAAGGGAGCAGGTCTTCACATAGGGAGGGATTGCTTTTTTTCCCTTTAAGTTTTTTTGAGTCTCTTGGAACAAAATGCTGCTTTCTTGGAATGACTTGAGTTTCTGTGATTTTCGCTATCTGAGGTTTAATACTAACTTTTTGTCTTAGGCCCAATATGTGACTAACTACCAAGTTATCATTTTGCCTGAGATGGCCAGGGTAAATTAGTAGAAATGCAGCTTTACCATTTACTGATGTTTATTTAGCAGTCTAGCTGCCCACTGTTTAACTATAATCACAAACTCAGTTCTTTTGTTGTCCTGAAGCAGGATGTCATTAGTTCTTGTTTGATCTTATAATAGCTTCAAGTTGGTAACTCTTTTTCT